CATTTGTGACCTTCATTGCTGACTTCTGACAAGCAAAGTCAATAGGGAAGCCAGCAGGAGGTCCCAAATGGTGATCACGTGACCACAGGATGCTGCAACTGCACAGACTTCACCTAACAATGGAAACAGGGATTGCCAGAACTGTTGTCATAAGTTGGTAACATGACATCGCGTCTTACGACCATTTCGTTTAGCGACAGAGTTCCTGGTCCCAATTACCATAGGTGAGGACTACCTGCATTTATTATTTCCTAAGCAATCGCATCTAAGTTTTCATTGTTATATTGCAGAATGTTTCATATTGTAAATGAAATTCTTAAAAGATTATACAAAACCTGTAACAAATACAACTGATTAAGGTGTTATAACAAAAAAAGAGAGAACATTTTATGTACCTTGGATTTTTGCGCGTTTCAAAATATACACTGCGACTTACTCTGGGCTTCTGTGAAACAGAGCCAAGAGCGGAGCTACAACTCTTCCACTGACCATTGGCACTTGTTCCAAATGTTCTTTTTATTCCTGTTGCTTGGCAGCTCTCAAAGCATGGGGATTCTGCCAGAGAAGCAGCACTGAATGGTCAATGGGATGCAATACCTTCGTATATTACCTACTACATAAAGAATATCTTTTCTATCTTCCCCAACTTTTAGAAGAAATTACAGAGATTTTAAACAAATTTTCCAAAATACATTTTGAAGAGAAAATCAACTAGCTTGTTTTATGTTTAAACAAACTGGCTTATGCTAATTACAAACTCTTTGCTTTTTCATTTATTTGTAGCATTTATTACAATTTAATCCCAATTTACAGAAGCACTTTTAAGAAACTCAGTGTGATGAGGATAGTCACTTGACTGTCCATAATCAGATCCTACCAAACTTTAAGCCATACTAAAATTTTACTCGGTCCTATCTACTTTATCAGAAGCAGATATTCAATATTGTAAAAATGCAAACAAAAAAAGTACAATATGCATTTGAACACATTAGAATATTCCATCCAAATGCATATATTTTACAAGTGTGAATCTACACCTGCTAAATTATCAACACTTTTCTTAAAGCGTTTAAGTTCAGACCAAATTGCAGAACATACATCTAATTTTAAGCCCGATTCTGAAAACAGAATAGGTCTCAAGAATACAGTAAATGGAAATTCCTGCTAACAATTGGCATGCTTTACAAGATATTTCTAATTACAAAGTCAGCCAATCAGCAATGATGTCTCCATAAACCATGAAGAACATTTCAAATTATATTAGCTCCCTATAGGAATAAGGCCTTAACTCAAGTGAAGAGCATCCCTCTGTTTAGCAGAACCTTTAGATTCAACTATAAATTATAGTAAAATTGAAAAAACGGACCACACATGACTTGCTACTAAACTGTTAGAACCTTCAAGAATTTTGTAGAATCTTAATGAGTTTCTCAGATAAAACCAATACAGCCAGACTTACCCGGATAGTAATTGAAACTACAAGAAGTATTTCCTGTTAGACAAGTGGAAGGTCCCTCCAAGCTGTTAAACTTGTTTGATAAAAACTAAACAGAGAAGAAAACAAAAATATTCAAAGAAAGAATCGTATTAAAAATGTTTTCAGTAAGTCCATTAGTTACAACTGCATAAGTAAAGAAAATTGCAATTCCTAGCCTCTTTAAAATTCTGCAATTACAAAATATATACAAAAAAATACAAAACCAATTACACAAATGCAAAAGGATACATACAAAATAGTAATGTACATAACAATCTAGACATGGTTATTATTTCATAATATCATCTAGAATTTCAGTAAATAAGAATTGTTAACAAGGTTGGAAGAGCAAAAGTCAATAAGAGAAAACTTATTAGGTGGAAACAGTAAAAACTGATAAACAAAATATTATTACTACTCTTGATTGTAAGCCAGAAAACAAATCATGGGTCAAATAAATAGGTACAGTCCTCACTTAACTACCATTCATACAGCAATTGTTCAAAGTTACAATGGCACTAACAAATGTATTTATGACCGGTCCTTGAAGTTATAGCTGTTGCAGTACCCCTGCAACCATGTGATCAAAAATTAGGCACTTGGCAGCCCACCCATTTATGACCTCAAGGTGTGCTTCAACTTCCCCCACCTGCCTATCTCCCCTGTCTCTGCCTTTTTGGCTACCCTGCCCTCTGTTGCCCCTGCTGCTTGAAGTCAGCAGCTGCCTTGCAAAGGGCCAGGCCAGGTACACCTCATCAGCAGTGGGAGCAAGAAGACAGTGAACATCAGCTGGGGGCAGCAGGGGTGGTGGAGGACAGAGTGGCCAAAAGAGCAGAGATGGGGGGGTAAATGGGGGGGAGTTGAAGTACAGGTAGTCCTCACTTAACAACTGTTCGTTTAACGATGGTCTGGAGTTACGACAGCCATGGGAGAAGTGCTTTACGACCCCTGCACTCACGTGATCACAATTTGTGACCTTTTTTATGGTGGTTGTTAAGCAAATCACGTAGTCATTAAGCGAATTCCAGCAAAAAAACGTCCATTAGGGAAGCTGGATTCGCTAAATGACCATCGTAAACAATGTTGTAAAATCAGCTCCGATTTGCTTAATGACCACATTGCTTAGTGACCTAAATTCCAGTCCCTATTGTGGTCAGATAGCGAGTACTACTGTAGAAGCTAGCACGGCAGGACAGGAGAAGAGTTAGGTCCTTGCCTAATGATGATGTGGTCCTGGCCTAACAACCGCAACCAGGACTACCGAAACTGCTGTCACTAAGTGGTGTGGTCACATGATGTTTCGCCTAATGACCACATTGCTCAGTGATAGAAATTCCAGCCCCAATTAGGGTCATTAAGCAAGAACTACCTGTACCAAATATTCTGCAATAAATTTTGCAGCATTTTTACTGTCAGAGGCCTTGAACATCTAGAAGCAGGGGACTAAAACCCTATAAATCTTGATTTGAATAGCCAGAGTGACACAGATAGGTTTCCAGCTTCTTTATCAAATTTAATTTCAAAATCAATTTCTGATCAGACATATAAATATTGATTATACAGGTAAGAAAGCAGAAGTAGCTGATTCCCAAACCTTGTTGCCAGACAATGGATGCTGGTCTCCTGAAATAACATTCTGTTGCTCAGGAAAAGTCTTGAACCCAGAAGTATGATTAGCTTGGATATAGTCCCCAGCATCCATCTTCATACAGTCAATAGTTTCATCTTTAATTTAAAAAAAAAGTTTATTATTTGAAGAAAAAATATATGCAATTTAAGATTTTTTTGGTGCTACAGGATTTATTTAACAAACCAGAAAGTATTAAACAGTACATCTGAGACTTCAGTAGAAAAAAAAAAAAAGTAGCACCAGAACACAGGCATTGTGGTAATATTTCTCCACAATTTTAACACAGTGAAAGGTAACCATAACAATGAGAGCAAAAGATTAAATGTTTGCATTTTGGGCTTATGAAAAAAGTGAATAAACAGGAGACAAAAAAGAAGTACAAAAAAATTATACATATAAGAGAAAGTAAACATCAATCAAGCATTACTAACGTCAGCAACTTAAAAAAGGTAACACTCAGTATGCTTTCAGTGAGTGCTTGTTGCTTCTAAAAAGAGACAATATATATTTTAAAATATTATTTTTAAAGGGTAAGCATAATAGAGCAGATAAGGACCTTTTCAGGTCTATAACTAGTTCACATTGCATTAGGCCATGACATATTTTAACCAGGTTTTGCTGAATAAACCAAATTGACTGGTTTCAATTATAACACTAAGGCACAAACTGCAGTTTACAAATCTCAATGGCTAAGTTCACACAAAACAATCCCTCCCCTCCCAGAAAGTCATGTTATAACCTAACAGAATATGTGAACCCAATAGGCGGAAAGAGTGTGAAACTGAGTAAGAAAGATAAAACATCTGTCCTCCCCTCACAATCTGATTAGTTTAAATAGACACAGCAGTATAAACAGAACAGAGATGGCATTAGTTCTTAAATATACAGGTACTCCTCAACTTAGGACCGTTCATTCAGCGACCATTCAAAGTTACAACGGCATTGAATGAATGGTGGTTATGACCGGTCCTTGTAGTTCCGGCCATCCCAACACCCCCACGATTGTGATCTGGGTGCTTGGCAACCGCACTTACGACCGGTTGCCATGCACCCTGCGATCACATGTTCACCATTTGCAACCTTCCATGCTGGCTTCCTCAGAAAGTCAAAGGGGAAGCCAGAAGGGAAGATCACAAGTCACTGGGGTAAGTCTCCCCTACCTGCAACCCTCTCCCAGCCCCTCTGCACTCGCGCTGTGCCAGCCACTCACGCAACCCCACCCCACTCCTGCGCACCCTCCGACTCGCATGGCATGTCTCATACACCCTCCTTCAACCTCCCCAACCTTCACAGCACCTCTTGCACGTCCTCCTCAACCCACACAACACTTCTCATGCACCCTTCTCGACCCTCCCTGACCCTCTCATGCATCCAAACCACATGGCACCTCTTATGCACTCTTGACCCATACCACGCCTCTCGTGCATCCTCCCCAACTGTCCCCCATGCTCCCACCCACCACCTCACTTCCTCCCCCACCCAGCAGCAGCCACTTACATGCCTGCGAGCCTGAGACTTGTAACTTCCTGCTGGCTTCCCCACTGACTTTGGTTGTGGGAAGCCAACAGAAGTTGCCTCATCTAACAACCATGTGATTCAGTTAACAATGGCAACTGGGACCACAAGGGTTGTTACTGGTAAGCTATGGGGTTGCACTTTACAACTTCATCGCTTAGCGATGGAAATTCCGGTCCCAATTGCCGTCGTAAGTTGAGGACTACCTATAAACAAAATAAATTTGAATAACTAAAAATTGCAGATTGCTCTAGTGAGAAGTTTCTTGACATTGTAGCTTCTAAAACAATAACTTAAAATGAACGGCTAATGAAGTGGATTAATTTAGCATACACTCACCCATCATTATGCTCCTTACATAACTGACTCAGATAATCCAATCTTCAAGAACCTGAGAAAAGAGCAGAAGATATTGCAAATGTTTTACATTAAAAAAAGGGGTGAACCAGATGTCACATTTAAATAAAGTTCTAGTGGAAGAAAAAAACCCCAATACATTTCTCACTCCACAATATTTCCTGATATGGCCAGTAGGATTTGAAAGGGGTTGTTGATCTGCCATTTTGGTGGAAAAAATAGCTAAGATAGACCTGTAACTTAACCAGTACAGTTTAGCTTTAAAAATTATTGTTTAAAATTTTCTGGAAAAAATGAAAATGCTCTCTCTTCAAAAAAAAATTCATGTGATTTTATATATTAGTAAGTTGCAAACCTTGGGAAGATATGTTTTCAGATTTCAATTTATTATTGGCTACAAGCAAAATGTTTTTGACTGTTTCCTCTCCTCCTTTGCAAATAGACAAGGAAGCCTAGCATACCAGCCTGCATCATACAATCACGATCCTTCTAATTCTAAGCATGTTGGTCTAAATGATAAATCAGTGTCACAAAGCTTTTTGATATGATGCCTCCAAAACACAATTTGTTTATACTGATGTTGTCTTTACAAAAAGGAGACAAGTATCTATCTCATACTCTTCATGTGTTTCTTGATGTAACTAAAAATTAATAGTGGAACTAGTTATTCAGGATGTGATTATCCTTTTACATTGGTCTGCAATTCATAATGATGAATTTGCAAAGAAGTGAAGGCAAACTGTAGAAGTCACATGCCTAGGTGTGTTATTTCCCTCTCACATTCAGATTTTCGCATTCTATTTTCACAACGGCAAACTATGGTAAAATAGGACAGGCTGTGGTCTCATTCACTAGAGGTCTTAAAACAGGGTAGATAGTTACCTGTCAGAGATGTTCTACTGGATCCTGCATTGAGCAAGAAGTTGCTGTACAACACCATACAATTCTATGACAATGCTACCATTTTCACATATATACTTTATAAGAATCTTTTGATTCCAGCTCTGCTAATTCCAGATTAAGAACACCATTCTCTAACTCTCTCCTCTCACCAAAGACTACAAAAGTAGGGGACTGGGGGAATGAACTTGGATGAGATTACTGCCAGTGGGGAGGGGGGGAACACCCTGCAGTTAAAGTAGTCCTGTTTGCCTGTTGATTATGTGTCATTAAGTTGGTGTCCACTCTTAGCGATCACTTAAGTACACAGATTTTCTCCATGAAAAGTAGTCCTGTTACAGCTTCTCAAACATTATATTCTGGTATGCACATGGGGAGGACTTATTTCAGAATAACCAGATGTGATATAAGCCAGAGCTCCTATATCAGTAATAACTAAACATAAGATGATTTCATGACAGACTTCTGGGGAAGAAATGGCAAACTGAAGATGGCTCCACTCAGCGGAATGAAAAGCTGGAGAGTAGACCAGCTCTTCATAATCCCTCTCCGGACAGAGAGGACCTGAGATCATCCATAAATGCTCCAGACAGTTGCGAGGAGACGGCAAGACAGTGGTCTCCAATGGGTATAGAGCTCTGGGAGATGAGTGAACAGCCATCTTGCTCAAATCACAGTTGGCGCCTTTAAAAGGACACCGGGTTCGCATACTTTCTTTTCTAATCACTTTTGGAAACTGCTTGTTAACTGCTTTTCAGCTATTAGGAACTTTGGATTGACAAATCTGAGAACACCAGGTGAGTTTCCTTCACTAGAGGGAACTAGAAGGAACTAAAGATTACAATTAAAGGAGAACACTTAAGTTTAACTTACTAGTACAGAATGAAGCAAAATATTTTAACACTGGACATACTGAAGGATATTTTTGAACAATGAACCCAGAAGTTAATTTTAAGAGTGTCTGCTGCTATGTTATGGAAGAGGAAAATATTTCATTGGACGAGACTGAGACTGATCTGAAAGTGAATTTAAAAATGACAGGCTACACTTGACATACAAAAGAAACTGGCTGATGTCTTAATAATTAAAAGGAATATACAAGTAACAAACCAAGAGACTGACCTGGATAGTTTCCCTATATTGGATTTACAAAAGAGGCTTGTTAAAGCTTTGAAGAATTTTGTAAGAAGGGACAAAGAAAAAATGAAAAGAAATCAAGTTCCAGGACTGAAGACCAAGATTGTTAAAAGGTAAAGGAAGGAATATAAAGTTGGTTTATTTAATCAAGGTTAAAACAGATATATTGTTATCGCTGGTAACCCTTAATGGATTTTTGCTGATCAGGACTGAAATGAGGAGGTTTTAAGGATCTGTCTATAGATAAGCGATGGGATATGGGAAGAAGAGATCATTTGTTGTATTTTAAGAGAAGGTGATAAGTTATACGTGTTGTGATGAAGGGAGAAGTCATTTCTTTATATCTTTTTCTTTACCATATTTTTATTTTTTCTTTTTCTTTTCTGTACCTTCTATTTTTCTATTTTTTTTTAGTTTGTATTAGTTTATCATTGTAATTGTAATTTTTAATAAAATTACTATAAAAAAAGATGACACATCACAACAAAATTCAGCTGAAACAAAAACTACATTTCTCCAAATCCTCACTACAGCACAGGAGCATTAGCCAAATCTACTTTGTACAAAGAGACACCAAAAGGAAAAAGAAGACAATGTTGGAAAGAAGCATCAGTCATGGGTGAAAGCCAATATAAACATTTGCAGTTTAAGAAACATTCCTTTCCTCCTCAGAGTTTACATGGTGCTTTTGACAGGTTCAAAATGTTAATCATATTTAACTTACAACAACAATAGCAAGTTAATAGTAATCACTATTGTAATATCCTGTTTGCAGACAGGAGTCAAAGCAGAGAAACAACATATTTCTGGGACTATCTGCTGAATCTGTGATTCATATTTTCAGATGGAAGAATGCAACTGAAAGGCGGATAAGAATCTGACAAGATTAGGATGAAATTTATGAACACCCAGAAATGGGGTGGACAACTCTTGGATAGGGGTCATCACATATGTTGATGAGGCAGGAATTTTGAGAGTTTTAAGCAGTTTGTTAATTTATAACATGGTACAGTATGATCTAGAAAGTCAAAGGACAAGTCCAGCCATGTCTAGCTGCTCATTATAAATTATAAATGTGAAAGTATGAGAATGTAGACAATAAAAACTAGCATCAAATCAATCCTTTTCCCCAACTCTTGATTCTAGCTGCTCTCCAATTTTATTCCAGAGACAGGCAACCTGCACCTCTTGGCTCAATTTCACAGGAAAAGCACATTTGCAACCAATCAATTCAAACTTCGGGCAATTTTTTCTCCAACAGTCTGCTGAATGAAGAAGACAGGGTGTCAGAAAAAAAAGGAGTATCAAAAAGAAAAGTTTCAGAATGAGAAATTGCATCAGGTTGGGCCTTCTCCAGCTCTTGTTTTACACCCCCTCCCCCCATTACAGGTACCCAAGTGCACTCAAGGAAGTTCGGAAATTGAACTAAGAGTCCATTTCTGTTCAGAGACTCTCGGTTTATCCCACTGTTCAGGCTTATTTGGTAACAAACACTAGTCTGAATGTTGACACCGGGAGGTGGAGTGGGGCTAAAACCTGTTTTGGCCCTGAACTTCCATCCTCTCCAGCCAGCAATGTAAGGGCTATGGGGATATTCCACGTCCCAGGCAGCACAAACACGATACGGGTTTGTGGGAGCTTAGTTCCAAGCACGCAGAGAACACCAGGTTACGTACCTTTGGACCAAGGCTGAATTCAGAATAACCCTGCTCGAAAGATCAAGCGTTTACAAGAAAACACAACCAACCTTTAAGTTCTGTCAGGCCGGAGCGCCTGTCCCAGGGCAGGAGAGGTTAGAACTGAGACTCCCCGGCTCGCCGCTCACTCGGCCAGCCCCTGCCCGTTCCTTTCTCTTTCAGTCACTCCGCTACGAGGCCAAGCCTTAAAAGGGGACGGAAGGAAAGCAGAGCGGGAGCAGAGAAAGGGGCTCTCGAGGGACGCGCGTCGGGCCTGGAGGATTAGTGGCAGGGCGCACTGTTGCCATAGCGACCACCCCAGACCCTCACCCTCATGCCGGAAGCTAAAGCAACGACCAGGACGGAGAAACGCACAACCGGCCGCTCCCGCTCTATCCTGCGTCCTTCCCCCACTTCCTCTCCCCTCTCGGAAAGGCTGTCCGCGGCTCTTTCTTTCTTTCCAACCGGATTCGAAGAGGCGGGAACCTCGACGCAGCCGGAAGTGAAACTACCTTTCCGGTGATCTTGTCCCGCCCCCTCGTCCCCTCTTCCGGGAAAGAAGCAGCCGCTTAGAAGGTGGCGGAGACGGCGGAGACTTCGAAAGGGGCGGGGGCAGAGGGGGAGGAAGGAGGAAAAAAAACCCGTCGCCAAAGAATCTTGGACGGAGTTGGTAGGCGGACGGACTGCGCACGCGCGCGAGCGCTGCTGGAGGCGTTGTAGTTTAAGCGCGTGCCCTGTCCGCTTGTTTGGAGTCCACGTGTTTTGGAAGAAGGCCGGTGCTTCGTTTTGTCCCATAATAACGGAGGCTTTTCTGAGATTGCGGAAGGATGGAATTCTATGCATGGAGTGAACCGTTGAATGCTAGTGGGCCTTCCCAGTCTAGTTAGAAAACAGGTTCTGGAGTCCAAGTGGCGACAGCCATAATTTTTCCGAGATGTGCGTGGAATCCTATGGTGCTACTATAACTCATGTCAGGCAGTGGGTTCACCAAGCTCAGCAAAGTTTGTTTCAAGGGTAGCCACCCAGTGTGTTTCAGATGAGTTGGCGGTCGGCCCCAGTCAGTCTCAGCCAGCGTGGCCAGCGGTGAGGGATTTCGGAAATTGCAGCTCAGGACATCTGGAAGTAGGCAAGAAATTGCTGCCCTTAGCTTACAGAGCAGAACACGTGAGATAGGATTTCCCCGATCCTATCTGGCCATGATAGGGATTGAAGCTGTCTTTCGATCGTGTGCTTCGTCTCAGATGTTTTTAATGTAATTCTTTTCTGATATTCATGAACCTCTGTGAAAACCATCCACAGAATGGATGTTGCATTCCGAAACAAGGTGTGGTGACCATGATGAAACTTCTTTCTGAGTAAGCGTATATAGGTTTGAATTGCATGCTTGCGTTCATCACTATGTGGTGAGCAATAAGTAACACTGTCTCTTCTGGGCCATTGCTGAGTGAAAAGCTGAGCATGGTAAGTAAATGCTTTTTTTAATAGCAAAAGTGACAATGTACATTAGTTGAGGGATGTATTGTCATCTTTTAAGATCTACATTTGATCTTTTTTATGACACTTTGCTCATCTATGGCTGATGTTTTATTATGCGACTCTCTTATATAACTTGGGTTGCTCTTTAAGATGAAACAACTCTAGTTCAACACACAATTCATGTTGCTGCAAGATGGTTACAGTCTGGTTTTATTTCTGCATGCATGGAGATACAGTGCTACATCTACCATCCTGAATTGGTCATCATCCAGATGGATTGGAAAAATAAATAAATAAATAAATAAATGTGTATGCCATGAATCATCCAGGCTCCCAGATTTCAAGATAATTCAAGAGATTCCAGATTCTTTGCCAGCATAGGAAAATCTAGAAATTGTAGTCTCCACATAGGGAGGGTGCTGGGATGGCTGGATGATACTACATATGTTTTCTGTTTTTTTTCTTTCTCTGATACAACTCATAGATTGGGGTTATCTTATTTGGCTGCAACCCTGTAAAATAGATCCTCCTATTGGAAAAGACATCTACTTGTAAAGTTGAATGTAGACCTTTCAGGTTGAATGCACTTGCAAGCCGGCATAACAAAGACAATTTCAGCGTAAGGACATGACTTTTATATCCACCAATAAGAGAGGAGTGTAACAGAGGCAGCTGTCTGGAGCCTAACATAGTATCTATAAATATCATACAGAAAAGCACTCATGTCCTGGTTATGTGGCTTTCACTGGACCTCTCAGTAATAGGGTCCAGTCTTTTCATTTCAGTCTCTCTCACATTTGCAGCTGTTATCTTTTTAACCTACTTGTTCTCCGAAGAAGAAGAAGAACAATCAGGTTAGTAAGGATTCCTGTTTTAACTGTGTTGGATTTTCCTGCTGAAGCATCATAGGGTGTTCAGGCATTGACTAGCATTTGCTCATTCAAGAGAAGAGATCACTTTGGTTCATATCTCTACTCAACAAAGGGGTTGCAAATTACTTTCCTTTCCTTTCCCTGGAAGTGTTTCCACTGGGGATGTGGGCAATTCTCCCTCCCCTTTGCAACTTCCCCCAGGGCTGTTTTGTCTGCTCTAGCAGGCTGGGAGGAGGAAAAAAATATACAGGAAAAAAAAACATGAGGTCATGTTTACTTTGACAAAAAGATAGTAATCTCCCCAGGCTGGATAAATATACCACAGTCTGCGGCTTAATTAATGCTTTGAAAGAAAACTGATACAAACTTGGTACTTTATATGAGAATGCTGTGTTGCAAATATGTTGAGGTGAAGGGAGAAGATAAAATGTAGTAGCAAGCAGAATACTTCCTTGTCTATTACTTTATCACCCCGATGTGCACTTCGTATAGGGCTGAGGGCCCCATTTAATCCTAGTATAGCGTACCAGTGGGCACGGTCCAAACAGTGGGTGGCATCACATCAAAAACTAAATTTGTTAAGTTGAATTAAATGAATTAAGACCAGTTGTGGATTTCTCTCCACATACTCAGTAAGTTTCCCCTTCTGTCACATTAACAATTACAAATTCAGTCTGACACCTGTTGGTACCCAAAATTCTCAGAGCGGCTTGTTTTGGCAACTCTGCTTTATACTTATCGTCTGTCTGCAGAGTTCACATATGGATCTCTAGGCTGAGTCAGTGAAACGTCTTAGCTGTATGAGCTAATTAAGGCTGGTGTATAATACTAGGTTGGTGCTAACAGCCAGAACCTCTTGAGAAGAAAACTTCAAAATAAGTGAAGTGCTGATGGACATAGTCAGGTGAGACAATTTTATATTTAGTTAGTAAATAAAAAGTGATGTAAGCATTAATACTGTGTCTTGTTTGAACTGGAGAGGTTGCATATGTTTTCATCTTGTCCTTTGGTCCACAACTGCAATCTCTTCTAGCTTCCTCAAATAGTTCCACCAACATACCTTCATCCATGGTGAAGGTAGTCTTCTCTAGTCTTTATAGAAGAATGTGAAGAGGTTCAGTCCAGCTTATGTGAATGTTACTTGCTGAGTTATGTGAGCTCTGCACAGAGATGACACCATATTACTACCAAAGGAGACAGTGCACCATATTATTCGTTCCACCTTCAGTCATTCTGAGAAACCTGCTTAAATTGCATTAATTATTTCTATGTGCATTGGCTTCTTCTTTCACTGAAAATACAATATGGGCAGCTCCACTATCTCTTGTCTGCCCTATCCTCTACTTTGTGCCTACTACGTTTATTGGGACTCCAGCTCCCAGAACCTCAAAACATCTTGAAAATGCAAAATGGGTTGAGTGGAATTACTTGGCTCATCATTCTCACCCAAGGCTCCTCCTCTCTGACAGGGGTTCTAAACAGCAAAGAAAAGAATCTCCCAAGGTGTCAGCCCCACTAGGTAGACCAGACCATGAAATCAACTCCACAGGATGACTGAAACTATTTTTATTGGGATTGGCTATAACGTTGCAAGGCTGACTACGTTGTACTTCTCCTTATAGTTCAGTGAATTAGGGAAGTGTCTGAGCTGCTTCCAAAAATTTTCTGGACTTAAAAAAATGCATTAGTCCTGTTACCTAGGCGTCAGCAGCACCTGCATATCTCCATCAAAGTCATCTTCCTTATTTTCTACACAAAGACTCAACTTGAGAGTGTGCAAAGCATGTACTTCAACTCTCAGCTACAGCTCTTCTTTGCTCTTTCTCCACTGTATTTACAGCAACAGGCTAAGTTGTGGAAGAGCTTGCCATTCTTTCACTGAAGGCTCCAGCTTCTTACAACCTGATGCTCTCCAGATATGTTGGATTGAATTTCGCATCAGCTTAAGCAAGCATGGCCATTGTTTGGAGATGATGGGGGTTATAGTCCAATATAATTGGAGGATACCAGGTTGGATAAGACTGGATAAAGGGATAAGCATAGGTGAATAATATCAGGTAGATTAATTGGTTCACATTTAATAAAGTTACCCCTTCCAGTTTTTGGCTGTAACAGAAAATGGTAAACAGACAATTGCATTGTTAATGTCCAATCTAAGGCACATTCTGTATTTATCTATTAATCAAATTTATACTTCATACTGGGATTACACTGCTCTAGACAAGTTTTCTAGCTTTCCATTGTAACAGAATTATGAAAAAGTGATTGAATAGAATTCCCAGGTTTCATATTCAGCATGATGCATCCATGATTGATTGATTGATTCAGCATCAGTGCTTGCATTATGCCTGCTGTCAAATTTATATCAATCCGGTCAATCAGTATTTTTAAAGGGGTGTCCTACAAAACACTGATCTAGAGCAGGCTCCCTTATTTCTTCAGGATGGGGTTAATAAAATAACGCTGAATAAGGAGAGGATAAAGGGGAACCAGCAGATATGACAAGATGAAGCCTCTTGCCTGTTTGAAGAGGACCAAAAAGAAGAGTTCACAAAATGTAACAAAAACTCATAATCCCACTTTGCATTTAGCTTCTCCTCCACTATGCCTTCTGTTGCCTATTCTTCCCTTGTTTTGCAACCCCCAGAAATCCTTATCTTTGGGACAAGAGTGTGCAGCAAAGAGTTTTTGGATAATCAGAGCCTTTTGTCATTTAGAATGATAGAGTTCTACATCATAAAATATATAACAAAGTACTGATTTCTAGGTCAATTTTGCAGGGATTAGGTCATATTTCAGAAATGAGGTCATGTTAAGGTTAGCTAAACTGGTAAATTGGGATAGGTTTTTTTCTTGATGTTGGAGAAAATGGTATCTTTGTAAGGAATATGGATGATCAACATAGTTTAAATCAGGATGACCAACTTTTTCTATGCTAAGGGCCTCTAGTGGCTTTTGAGTTGGTATGCCAGCAGCCACGCTCAATAAAGTAGATGGTGATAACACCAAACATTGGGCAAAGTGCAGAGGATCTTGAATTTAAACAATTCAATTTAAATGCAATTAAATATAGTTAATATCATTCCCTGTCTATGTTTTTTTCTTTCTGTCATGTTAAAAATTACAGTTTGCC